GCTAATGGGAGCCCTTCTATATCTACTTTTACATGTTTCAAAGAAAGAGTGCTACACCGCGTCACCCAGGCGCCGAGTCTGTGCGCCTTTGGAGAAAGGCAGGAGCATTTTCCTTGTTGCTCTGGAGGCCAGGGGACGTCCTCCGAGGAAAAAGGAACTGGATCTGGGCTGGGAAATGTGGGTAGGATGGGGGGAAGGTGTCCGTTTGAGGAAGAAGAACCCACATGAGCATGAGCACAGTTGTGGTGCTGGGCCTGGGTGGGGGGCATTTGGGGATGGCAAGGAGCCTGGACAGCCATGCCCAGCTGGGGAAGGGGAGCTGGATCATGAGCTGCTGGAACATTCTCAAGCCTGCAGGCCAGGGATTGCCCAACCGACTTTGATGAGATGGTTAACTGAGCACATTCCTGGGCCCCTCCCCACAGAGACTGGGATAGGATCAGTCTGGGTCAGGGCCCAAGAATCTGCGTTTTAGCTAGCAGCTCAGGTGACCGTGGTGCAGGTGGCCTGTGACTGTGTTTGGAGACTAGCTGGTGTGGACAACAGGGAGCCATTGTAGATGCTGCAAGTCCTGCAGCTGGCTGAAGAAGAATGGCAGCTCTAGCCCAGTGGGGGGGAGGAGGGGTCAGGCATGGGAGTGGGGGAAGGGGGGGACAAGCTGATTAGCGGGCTTTTAGAGGGGCTCAGCTTCTGTAGGGTAGGAGGCCAGTGATGAGGGGTGGATTGAGACACACATACTGGGTGGAGACCATTTCCTGCAGCATCGCATCCCTGGGAGCTCCTTAGACATCAGCATCTCGGGCCTAACCCAGACCTGCTGCATCAGGACCCGACTTTCAGCAAGATTCAGGAAGCAGTGTGCTAGATCTTGCCTTTCAATGTTCAAGCAAAAAACTTGAATGGAAAGGGGGAGGGTAGTCCATTTGATGAACTTAGGTAAATACACACAGAACACGTGAAGGCCTGTCTCAGCACCAGAGGCCAAGCCCCTCTCAGTCATGGGAGGTCAGAGGTCAGATAAGAACAAAACTCAACCTAGGACAGAGTCCTGGCTCTCAACTCTGACCACCCTCAGCTTCAGGGTAGGAGACTGGGATCAGGGGTCTGCCTGCTCAGATTTGAATCCTTGCTGCACAGCTTGTGAGCTGTGTGGCCTTAGGCAAATTACTTAACGTCTCTGAGTCTGTCTCCCCATCAGAAAATGGAGATAGGAATAGACATGGTGAGATGGCATGTGCAAAGTGTGTGAATACCCTGAGTCACAGGGCTCTGCTAGCAGCTAGGTCTACATGGTAATCAGTGTCACGTCCCTCGGCAAGCTCCGTTTTACTGTTTTCTTCACGTATTTTACCTCATTTGGTTAAATGTCTGTGAAATCACACCCAGTCTCAGGGGCTCAGATGATGCCTCCGATGACGTGCTGGTCCAGCCAAGAATACGAGGTGTGTGAGGCCCTAGACCCCAAGTTCCCCGAGGGCGTGACATCTGTGTGTTGGTCACCTGGGAATCCAGGGCATGAGGTTCGCATCATCCTGACCACCGCGGTGGGCGGCGTGGTTACCGGGGGATCTGGCAGCACCGCCAGCTCTTGCGGCATTGCCACAACAGACCCCAACCGTTAGAGAGCCTGGTCCTTGTCACAACCACCACCTGTTAGCTGTGTGACCGCCCACTGTGCTGACAGGCCCGTGAGGACTGGCTGTGGGCAGGTCATGCCTTAGTGGCCCTGGGTGGGCAGCATTATGCCTCTTGTACACGTGAGGTCACAAGGGGTCACGGCAGGACCTGCTGTCTGCGACTGGAACCACGGCCTCCGATAGTGGCGCTCACTGCCGTTTCTCCTCGCGGGACGTGGGGCACCCGGGAGTCTCCTTGGGGGGCGAGAAGGCAGGAGGGCTGCCGAGGGCCTGGCGCTTCCCTGCTGCCCGTGGGGAGGGTCCGTCTCTGGTGGCCTGGGACAGGGTCTGCTTCTGCTGGAAAGCTGTCTGAGCGACTGCCCAACATGGCCGCTGCAGAGGTGAGCAAGGAAAATGGGCCCAGTGTCCGCCTAGTGCTACTGGAGGCCAGACGGGTGTCCACCTCACCTTCCTGTCTGCTGTGCTGAGTGGGGCTTCTGTGGGGACAGGGCTGTGGTTTTCCCCAGTGGTCGAAGGCAGCCGGCGTGGGGCAGCCCGTTCAGCTCTGGGGGAACAGGGTGAGAAGACCAGAGGGAGATGGGATGCCCAGAACACTCTGGTCTCAAGTTAGCAAGCAGGGAAGGGCTGGGAGGTGACAGCATGGAGGAACCAGATGTGGGCGGAGGGTGTGCCGGGTGTCACAGGATTTTCAGTTTCTGAACTATGGAGCTGACTAATTTCTGGACTTTATCCCCAAGATCTCTGTTCAGATGTTTTGAGTTTTCATCCATTTGCGTGTCTCCAGGAAAACCAACTCGGCAGTTTTGGGGTGCCCACCGTAGTGGGCCTGGCTCAGGATGTAGCAGGGTGGACGGTGGGGCCCTCTGGAGTGGGAGAGGCTCGTCCACATTTACTGATCATTGCTGGTTAACCAAGGGTGTGAGCCAGTGGCTCCAGGCACTGAAATAGACATTGGATCTTGGGGTGCGATTATCTCCGTTCTCTCCAGGTGTCTTCTCAGACAGATAAAGGGACATTCACAGCTGCCCAGACCTCTCCCCACCTGGTGGACACTCTGTGGCCATTCCCAGGGGTGGAAAGAGCTCAGTCTTTGGCGTTTGAGACTCAGATTCGAACCCGGTTCCTCCGTGTGAGCTGGGAAAGTTATTCAGTCCCTCTGAGCCTCTGTGTCTGTGTGGCACGTGCTTCCCGTTCTCTAGGGCATATGCTTCGGAATGCAGTTGCCGGGTCATATGGTAAATCTGCCTTTACCATTTACCGCCAAACAGTTCTCCAAAGTGGCCACACCATTTTGCAGTCCCTCCAGCAGTGTCTGAGGGCTCCAGTTTCTCCACATCGTCGCCAACGCTTGTTATTGTCAGTCTTTTGAATTATGGCCATTCCAGTGGGTGTGAAGTAGTGTCTCATTGTAGCTTCCATTTTGTATTTCCCTGATGACCGTTGAGGTTGGTTGTCTTTTTATGTGCTTTATTAGCCATACAGTGTCGTCTTTGGTGAAGTGTCTATTTCATTCTTTTGCCCATTTTTAAATGGGATTATTTGTCATCCTATTGAGTTGTCAGGGTTGTTAATATCATCTGGACTCAGGTCTGTTGTTGGCAATATGATGTGCAGGCATCGCCTTCCAGTCTGTGCCTTGTGTTTTCTCTTATTAATGATGTCTTTTGAAGTGCAAAGGTTTTTAATGTTGATGGTGCCAAGTGTATCAATTTCTTTTATTGCTTGCACTTTTGGTGTTGTATCTAAGAAATCTTTGCCTAACCCAAGGGCATGAAGATACACTTATGTTTCCTTCTAGGCATGTGTAGTTTTAGACCTTACATTAAGTTTGATGATCCATTTCGAGTTAATTTTTGTACGTGGTATATAATTTTGTGCATGGTGAGATTAGGATCTAAATTCGTCTTTTTTGCATGTGGAATATCCAGCTGTCCAGCACCATTTGTTAGGGGACAAAACAAGCAAACAAACAATTCTTTCCCCCCTTGAATTGCGGTGGCATCTTTGTTGAAAATCTCAATCATTGTGGTTCATGCCCCCAACTTTCTCTCCCTCTCCTCTTGCTCATCATGGTGGTTGGCAGACTGGTAGAATGTAATGTTAGCCACTATTCTAAGTGTATAACTGCACAATCAAATTTACAAAAGCCAGCAGCAGGTTGACCAGCCGAGGTTGGTCAAAGGCACTGTGGTCTGCCTGAGCAGCAGAGGCCTGTCTGCCACTCACCAGCTGTGTGATCTGGGTCAAGTTTCTTAATTGCTCTCTGCCTTAGTTTCCCGCCCTGTGAACCAGGGGTGATAATAGCTCCTTACCTCAAAGGTTGCTGTAAAAGAGATGAGTAAATACGTGTAAGGGCCTGGGAGGAGCCTGCACGGGTAACATTAGCTGTTCCATAGCTGACCCAGTGGTGTTTTCTGATCCTGTGATTACCTTGGGCTCAAAGTGCTTGGCCTGGCTCCACACAGACTGAACTGGAAGAAGGGAGGTGGCAGTTGAGGGGTGCTCCACACGGACGGCCGCTGACCACGAAGCAGCTCCTCCAGCCACGGATCTGGCTGCTGTTGACATCAGCTGCAGATGCCAACAGACGTGACTCCACACTCCTGGTGTAAACACACCTCCTCCCCGGGAAGGCCTGGCAGAGCACATGTCCCTTCCTGATGCCAGAGGGTCCCCTTCTGATAGTTTACATGAGGAAGGATTTGGGAATCATGAAAAAAGAAGTACCACCGGCTTATCCTCCTCTCTGATTGGTTTGCATTGGGTTGTAGTATCAAACATGCACACACACGCACACTTGCTGCACACACATACGTGCACACCTCCCCCTGCAACCCTCCCCACACACCCCTGCCTGGCAGGCTTCTCCTTCTCCACCCCTTCCTCCTCTCATTTATAAGGCGCTCTCCCTCCAGAGGGCAAAGCATTTGCACCCGTCCCCCCCACCTGAACCCTAGCATGTCTCCTAGGGTGGGGCTCTCAACCTCGGCCCTCCTGATATCGGGGCTGGATCCCTCTTCGTCATGGGGCTGTCCTGTGTGCTCCAGGATGTTGAGCATCATCCCTGGCCTCCACTCACTAGATGCCAGTAGCACCACCTCCCTCCAGTATGACAATAAAAAATGTCTCCAGACATTGCCATATGTCCCCTGGGAAGCAAAACCACACCCTGTTGAAAACAGCTGCCCTACAGGATCTTGTTAAAGGTGAGCAAGACAGAAATCCGGGGACAGAGTGGGCCTTCACGGGCAAGTGACGGGGGAGAGAGCTGGAGGGACACGTTGTAGAACTTATCCATTCAGAGCCCCACGTGCCTTGTCTCCAGGGGCTCGCTCACTCTCCTCGGGACGCTCTGAGCAGCACGTGTCCTGCCCTTGTAGGCTTGACTTGGAACAGCCGTGGCATCTGTGGCTCCTCAGCCCCTGGTGCCCTTGAACCTCCGTTCTTGGCTCACACCATCTTCCCTCCGAAGCTGTGTCTGCAGAGGTCTCCAACATGAAAAGAAACACACACAGAGCTGCTTGGCTGAGTCCTAGCCCTGACGATGAAGCCTTGCTTTTGAGGCAGAAGCACAAATTGCTACAAGTCAGAGAAAAAGGAGACCTTGCTCTGCAGAGAAGACAAGATCTCAAGTGGTGGAAAAGCCAGCAGCTCCAGCACTTGGCCAAGGAGTTGAGGACAGAGTGGCAGGGGGCCCCCAGCCAGCGAGTCCGAGGTCTGGAGAGGCTGTATTTAATGCATCTCTTAGGTTTGGGAGGAGGACAGCCTAAGGATCATGAACCTGACCTGGAGCTGCCAGCCCAGCGAGGAGCAGCCCGGCCACCAAGGGCCAGGGAGAAGCACAGAGCAGCCGTCAGAGAAGAGAAGAGTTGCAAAGAAGAGCTGATGAGACAGCAGCCCTGGCACACCAGGCCTCAGAGGAGAGCAGCGGGTTTGGAGAAGCAGGGAGCGACCAAGGCTGTGGGCCCGACTCCTCCGCCCCCGAGCCCGCCCGAGAAGCATAAGGGGAAACGAGCGCCTTCCACAAAGACCAGCGGTGGCCATCGTCCTGTGGACCCTCGCGTGAGCAAGGGCCTGGATGTGGAAAAGCTCTTGGTTGTGGCAGGAAAGACCAAGGACCTGGAGGAAAGGGAGAAAGAAATCACCCGGGAGGGGAGGAGGCAGCTGGGAAAGGGGTCAGCTCATCTTGTTCAAGGCCTGAGAAACACCTCTCTGCATCAGAGTCCCGAGGGCAGAGCGAGAGACCTGGAACAGCTGTGGCCAGTCGGCTCGACTTGCAGAAGGAGAGCTGCGCCGCAGGCATCTCAGTGCGAGCGCGGTGACAAGAGCAAGTGGCAGAGAGAGCTCGAGTTTGCCTTCGAAGAGTTGTTTAACACAAACAGGAAGCTGAAAAAACACCTGAGCTTGTACCTTGAAGCTAGGCCCGGGATGGATCAGAACCCCAGTGAAGAACAGGGCTTCTCAGAGAGGCAAGAACGGAGAGGTGAGACCCAACGAGAGAAGAAAACCCTAGATGCAGAAATGGAAATGGTGCCTGCCCGGGAATCCGCAAGTCCAGCGGAGGTGGACGCCCACCAGACACCATCCAGAACCAGTTTGGAAAAGTTACTAAGCAAGCTTGAGAACCAAAAATATCGTCGGATGGCCAAGCCCACATTTCAGAATGAGAGAAGGTTGTTGTCTCCTGAGGCAGGAACATTTGTCAATGATGAGAACCCGCTCCTGCACAGCACGGAACCTGGACGAGAACTGCCCAGACCCGACACGCTGGACACGTGGCCTCACCCACAAGGACAGGCGGGCAGGGTCGGCTTGGTGGTGTCAAAGCAACAGCAGGAAATGGAGATGGAAGCGAGAAGAGGAAAGCAGCTGGAATTGATTGAACAAGCTGAACCCCCGCAGATGAGCTTGGAAGCCCACTCCCAGACAGAGCGTGAGGATGAGAGACCGGAGCAGACAAGAGCTCGCCTGGCTCGTCTGCAGTCTTCCTCCCCTCGAGACCGGGAGGAGGGAGGAGGGTGTGGGCCCGATGCTGCTTCCGCCTCGGCCGCCAGCACCACCGACGATGACGGGCACAGTCAGATGATCTGTGACCTTCAGCAGCAAATTTTAGAGGCGAACCAGTTGCACAAGCAGTTTCTTGAAGAAGCCAGGAAGCGCTTGCGAGAGTTTCAGAGAATATGATAAAAGGGAAAGTCCCATCCGTGATAAATACATCGCTGATGACTGGGCGTTATGCTGAACTGGTCCTTGAGTCTGTGAGATCTGTCTTTGCGTCGTCTATTGGGAAACTGATAGGCCTCTTTAAAATGGGTCATCTATCGTTCTGCCATGCTTTGGAGCAAGTTCCTCTGCAGGAATTGTACTATTCTCTAATCTTGCCTTTAAAACTAAGTCCTCTTCAGGAAGGCTTCTTAGCACAAAAACAGGAGCCCGTGTGGGATGCAGTAAGTGGGTCTGGCCAGCGTAGCACAGAGGGGTCTCCCAGAGCCAAGCTGTTTTCATGTGCACAAGCACAGATGGAAACTCCAGGTAAATTAAGCACTTCAGATGTTTTAGCCAAATAAACACTAGACTTTCGGGCATCCAAGGTCAGACAGGCACAGTGTCAAAAGAGACATCGCTGTTGCTTAGCCACTGGCTGAGACATAAATGGAGAGATTTAACAAAAACCTCTTCCAGTCTTTCAAACCAACATCACTAAATAGGACATCACTTAGTAACACTCTTGTAGCTTTAATATTAGAAAGCAGGAGGGAGAGAGAGAGAAAGGGGAAGGGAGGGAGAGGGAAGGAGGAGGGAGAGGAAGAAAGACAGAAGGAGAGAGAGAGAAGAGGGGAAATGGTTCCCAGCAACCCAGCCCTGATAGGTGACTCCCTCAGGGCTGGCAGTGGTGGGGGGAACCTGGGTGTCTGGTTAGTTTCCTACCCCCCAGCTTTACCTCTGACTCGGCAGCCGTGGAGACCCTACACTGGGTTGGGTTTTATCTGCCAATTGCATACTTAGGGACTGGGACAGGGGTGGACAAACTTTTTCTGCAAAAAGCCAGATGGCACATATTTTAGGCTTTGCCGGCCATACGGTTTCCGTGGCAACTGCTCACCCCTGCTGTTGCAGCTCAACGCAGCCATGGACAACACAGGAATGAATGGCGTGGCCGAGATCCGACAAGACTTGATTTACAAAAATAGGTGGGGGCTGGATTTGGCCCCTGGGCCATAGTTAGCTGACCCTGGACTAGCATATCAAGGAGATGGTTCCTGCCTCCTTCCCTCCCTTCCGAGGACTCAGATACACTGAGTTGGATCAACCGTTTTCGGTCATGACACATTTGTATCATTGGTCCCTGAATGGCCTTTTTTATCTTAGATATACGTTTTAGACAACGTAATGAACAACTGTGAGCCCACCACCCAAACCCAAAATCTGGGATATTTGCTGAACGCCAGCTTCTGTCTGTGTCCTGTGTGCTGCTTCCCCTTTCTGCACCCTCTTCCTCCTTAGCTATATGCCTGCCGAACCTGGGGGTGGTCCCTACCTTTCATTATATGTTCAAGTGTGTGTGCGTGTGTGTAAAAATTTATATACACAACACTATTTAGTTTTACTTGAGTTTGAACTTTATAAAAAAGATGTTATACCGTGTGTGGTCTTTTGGAAGCTTTTTTTGGACTTGGCATAGTTAATTCCTCCATGTCACACATAGGTGTGATTTGTTTATTTTCGCTGCAGCGTCATATCATCATGTGACTATCAGAGCCTTCTTTCCAGGATCATAGCTTCTTCTCTGTTTTATGCCTGTTCCCAAAAAGAGAACTACGTCCTTAGTGCATTTGGATCAAAAGGCCAGGCATCAAAAAGTTTGAACACTAAGTGGGATGTCAGTGTGGGAAAGGTCCTGTCACTCCTTCTCTTTCCCATTTTCACCTTTTCTGTTTTTGCCCTGGAAAATGTTGACGTAATCTTATACTATTTTTCCTTGACAAATACTGAGTGAGACACACTGCCCCAGTTACTGGACATGAACAGTGGACAACACACCTGGGAATCACAGGGCTTACGTTCTAGTGGAGGATACAGGTAATAGGTAAATGTGCAGTGACAGGTGGCAATGGTGGGATTCCCCGGAGATGTTGAGTGACGCCCAGTTACATGTCCCTGAGAGCCCTGAGCCAGGCTTCCCTGGAGAGCTTCCCTGGAGAGCTTCCCTGGAGCTCACAGAACCCCAAACGTGCCATTTGTATGGGGCAGTAATGTCAGTGTTGAACTTTTTTATAAAGTTCAACGAGTCTTGCTGGTTTTGTTTTAATTTTTTTTATTTATTTATTTTTTGGCGAGGAAGATTCACCCTGAGCTAACATCCGTTCGCCAATCCTCCTCTTTTTGCTGAGGAAGAGGGGCCCTGGGCTAACATCCGTGCCCATCTTCCTCTACTTTATGTGGGACACCGCCACAGCTTGGCTTGATAAGCGGTGCATAGGTCCACACCTGGGATCCGAACCTGCAAGCCTCGGGGCCGCCAAAGCAGAGCGCGCAAACTTAACCACTATACCACCAGGCCAGTCCCGTTGGTTTCATTTTTAAATCATCAGTAGCTTGGGTGAGGAGCCTTCTCCCATCTCACGTTTTCAGCCTATGGGTCTCCATCGTCTGTCTGTGGCTTTTCTACTTGAGGTAGAGAGAATGTTTGCTCCCAGCCAGGTTTCTTTCTGGCATCTGCTTCCGGAATGTCATGGGTCAGGCTGCAAAGCAACTCAACAATTTGATCCAAGCCCAACATGTATAAGAAAGAAGTTCTGTGGCCAGGGGGACAGTGCCACTCCCAGGCCACTTGAGGATTATGGGGGGAGGGGCTCTGGCTTTTTGTAGATGCTCAGCATTGTGTGTCACAAGGAGATCATCTGGAGAGCTCCTGTCTGCCACTGAAGGGTCACCTTGGTCGGGGAGGTTGGAGAGAGGGCTGTGGGATCACCAGGTTTAGAGCCGTGGCCACGGTAGGACCCAAACCCTGAGTAATGAGGTTGTCCTGACTCGGCCTGGAAGCCATAGTCTGATGAATGGACGAGCCTGCCTTTGAGTGGGTTATTTTTGTTTCCACCTTCAAAGGTAGTATTTGTGTTCCATGTGTTCTAGGTGAGGAATTGCTCCTTCTTGGCTACACTTGAGCTAAAGTAAGTGTAGGGGATGGGCAGCGAGACATGGTGGAGGGTGACTCATCTCTGCCTAGATGGTCATACCTACACTGTCCCCTGGCAGCAGGACAAGACATCCTGCCCTTTCCCACCTGTCCTGCAGAAGGTGAAAGGGGGATGAGGTACTTCTTTGCCCAGGCCAGTAGCGGGGAAATAGCCCTCCAGGACCCCTCCCCACCCTAAAAAGATGACCCTCCAATGATTCCCTGTGGAGATGTCATGGGTATCGTCCATCTCTCAGTGGTAGCCAAAGGGTGGGCTGGGGTCCCGGCAGACCCTGTCTTCTTGGTCACTTTGACACAGCTGGACTGTAGTGCCCTAGGACAGCACCACCTGGAAGGGCATGGGGCTCCTGGAAGGTTTCCATGAAGTATTGCCAGGTGGCAGTAAGGACGCCTGCCACCATGGCTGTGTGTGCCTTCATCCTCCTATAGCACTTCTGGTGTCCTCCCCCAGGGGGCCTCCCTCTCTCCCCTAGAGGTTCTCCCGCTCTGAACACTGTCTTCGGGAGTTTTCCACTGGGTTTGTGCTTCTGCCCCCACATTTGGGGGCAGCTTCCCTGTTCTCGTCTTGACTCTGCATTTACTAGAACCATCATCATCTGGTCACTTCCTTGCAGCCCTGCCTGTGAGTCTTTCTCCCCACCCAGACCGCAGGGACTTGGTAAGACCTCCATGGCCACCCTGGTGGTGGACAGGTCCCCGTGTGTGCCCCAGGGGTTTGCAGGGGAGTAGCAGCACTGGTCATGTGTGCTGCCGAGGTCCCCTGTCCATGGGCGGGGGCAGGCCGGCAGTGTCTGACAATTGCCTGGACGAGAGCAGCAGGACCAGCAGTTCACCCCGTGATGGTGTGACCCGCTCCTGCACTTGCTGGGCCAGCAGGCGTCGTTGGTTTTGGACGTGGCCCCATATTCCATGTGTGCTGCTCTGAGGGTCCTCACTCCTCTCCCCTCCCCCGCCAGCCAGGTGCATGGCCATAGTGTGTGTGATAACATCCAGAACCTCAGAAATGTAAAATAACGGCAAAAATAAGATTTTTAAAGTTGGGGGCACAGAGGACCCCCTCTGATCTGCAGTAGTTCTTCCAGTGAGCGGAAGGTGGCCACGATACGTGGACGGCATCTTGCCTCTGCCCTCCTCACTCTCTAACGTGTTGGAGGGTTGATGTAGCAGTGTCACAGGTCCTTTGACGGCCCAGGACACGTCCCAGGCGGGAACTGAGGGCTGGGTTGACTGCACACCACCACTTGCTACCAGCTTCGAGGGGCAGGTAGGCTGACCTCGGGTCTTATTTGCCAGGCTAAGCTAGCGAGAAAGAGGAGGGGCATGAACTGCCCAGCGCTACTGCTTGGGCTCTCTCCATGTTGGAAGCTGGGTGTGTGGGCCCTAGGATTCCAGCCTTTACATCCCTGTTTCTGTCTCCTGAGAAATGCAGTGGGTTGGGGTCAGCCCTCAGACCACATGCCTCTGAGTCCCACGCAAGGGCCACTGCTGCTGCACTGTCCACACTGACGGGGGCCAGGGCCGTGGGCCCAGCCCTTGTGTATTTGCTCCCGAAAAGGAGGCAGTCTGGAGAGGAACAGAGACCTGCCCGAGGTCACAGTCCACCAGCGGCAGCGTGAGGACAGGACCCTCGTCTGCTGCCCCTCGCTTCTGTGCTGTCCTTCTGGCCGCTCTGTGTCCGTCTCAGCCTGTGGGTGGGAAGGGATTGCGAGGGGTGGCTGGGTGTTCCCTCGGCACCTCTCCAAGCTCCCTCTGCCTCCTGCCCTGCCCCACTCCTGCTCCTGTCCCCACTCTGGGCTCCAGGCTTGGGGTTTGCAGGGCTGAGCTTGGCTCCTCCTCAGGGTCTTGGCGGAGAAAGTGCAGAGCAGCAGTTCCCTCCACAAAGCCGCACTGTTCTCAGCAAATCCTCCCAGGATCGGGATGCATTTTTTTCAAATGATTCAGCAGCACGTGAATGGGAAGGGCCGAGCCCAAGGCTTCGGGAACCGTGACCAAGGCCTCTGGCATGAGATCCCACTGGGCCCACAGGGAGAAGGGAGGAAGGGTGGCAGGGCG